GCACCCAGGCCATAAATTCAAGCCCCAGAACCTACAGGAAAACAAAAACAAACAAACAACAGCAAAAAAAAAAAACAACCCACCAAACTGTAATAACCTGTAAGCGAGAAAATCTACAGAGGCATGGTTAAAGGTGACAAAGGAGTTTTATTAGTTGGTCTGCAACCCTGTTCTGGGTTACCTCAGAACTAGGAGTAGCTGCAGCCTCCAAAGGGGCAAGTTTGTTTTTTTTTTTTTGTTTTGTTTTTTCCTTTTTCCTCCTTCCCTCAGGGCTTTCTAATCTCCATGAGTCACTCAACTCTCCACTAGCCTCTCCCATCTCCATGGTCCTCTCCTTCTCTCTGCAGGCCTCTCTGGTCTCTGCAAACCTTTCCACGAGCCTCTCTCATCCCCACTCCACTTGCCTCTCTACTTCTCTGTGGGCCTCTCTGATCTCCCCAGCCTCTTGGCTCTTCACAGACCTTTCCACCTCTCGGCCGGCCTCTCAGCCTTTCTGCCGGCCTTTCCACTTCTCAGTAGCCTCTTACCTCTCTGCCAGCCTCTCTAGCCTCTTCTCTGCCGGCCTGGGTCTCCCCTCAGGCCGGCCGGGGCTTCCCCTCAGGCCGGCCCGCGGCCTGGGTCTCCCCTCAGGCCGGCCGGGGCTTCCCTTCAGGCCGGCCCGCGGCCTGGGTCTCCCCTCAGGCCGGCGCGGCTTCCCGGCAAGCTGGTCCATGGCCCGAACTCTCCTCAGGCCTGAGGAGAGTCCCGGCACTGCTCGGCTCCAAGAGCCCCGTTCCCATGCGGTGTCTCTCCTCCCTTCTCAATCTCCTCCCCAGAACCTCCTCCTCTCTATGTTGGGTGGCCTGCCCCCCAAACCGCTCTTTGAAGCCCCAACTCCCCAGTGGCATGGCACGAGTGGCGGTGATGTCAGCGTGGGGCTGCCCCACAGGTTCTCACGAAACAAACAGAAAAATATTAACAAACGCCCTGTAGTGCGTAGGAAAAAAAATGGAGGTTGAATGCAAAGAGAAAATCGGAACATGCGTATTAGCTAGCAATCATCATCATTATAATAATATTCGCGCCCAAACGTTTGAATTCCCTCCCACTCGCCTTGAGAAGAACTACCTATCTCGAGTTTTGAGACATAGACCTACGCGCCTATCTCACTAGTCCCGCCCACTTTTATGAGCTCTGATTGGCAATTTCAGATACACTATTGCTTTGATTGGCTGGTCATCGTTGGGAGTGGAGTTTCAACACGCGGTCTCTGCACAGATCATACTTTCGCCATTTCGGCATCTCTGAGGTAAGTTCGCGTGGACGGCTGTGGCGGCGGAAAGAAAACCGAGTGCTGGGTGGTGAATAGCAGGTGGTGGGTGGTGGTGGCACATAGCCTCTGTAGATCACCACATTATCTCTGTTTCTTTTTACTGTACCTTCTGAAATGTTTGTTTTAGGACTGAAAACTGGTTTAAGGTTTTTCAGGTTAATTCTTGTACAGGCCGCCCCCTCCCCCCAAAAAACCCCTATCTTCCATCTCAGGCTGCTTCTTTATAAACCTCAGCACGCCTCCCCATATACACTCAAAGCAGGGAAGGAGCGAGTTAAAAATGCACGCTCACGGGTGCTATCTGTGGGCTGGGAAATGGGAAGGTTCCTCGGAGAGTAAGCATTCCGTCTCTCCACACGATGTAGCGAAATAATGTAGCAAAATTTGGACTCAGAAAGAGGGAAAAAAAAGTAAAAGTACGCATGCGCTAATACATGTACTTGAATTGCAGTATCACAGTATACGCGATAAGCATAAGTATGAGCAGTTTTTATGTGCCAATTAAGTTTTTTTAAGTTAAAACTAGCAGGGCACAGGTGGCTCACACCTGTAACACTGGCTACTCAGAAGGCTGAGATCTGAGCATCGCAGTTCACAAAGTTAGCCTAGGCAGAAAAATCTGTGGAACTCTTATCTCTAATTAGCCACCCAAAAAAGCCAGACATGGAACTGTGGCTCAAAGTGGAAGAGCGCTAGCCTTGAGGACAAAGAGGCTCATGGACAGCAACCAGGCCTTGAGTTCAAGCCCCAGGACTGGCAGTGGTTGGGGCGGGAGAGGTTAAAAATAGCCAGGTGCATGTAGATCACTCCTATAATCCTAGCTATTCAGGAGTTTGAGCTATGAAGATCATGGTTTGAAGCCAGCCCCGGTCAGGAACGTCTGTAAGGCTCTGATCTCCAAAAAAGAGCTGGAACTGAAGCTGTGGTGCTAGTGGTAGAGTGCTACCCTTCAGCACAAAAGCTCTGGGACAGTGCCCAGTCTGAGTTCAAGTCTCAGGACTGGCACACAAAAAAAGTTTAAAAAGTTAAAAACTATAAAAGAAAAAAATCATAAAACAAAAAGCTTTTTGATTTGTCTGGTAGAAATTGATTCTAATTTTTATTATTTATATTTATTTATTTTTCTTTTTCTTTTTTTAATTTTAATTTTTTTTACTCTTTTTTTAATTGTGAAAATACCATATAGAGGGTTACAATTACATGGGCAAGATAATGAGTACATTTCTTATCAAGCATGGTTGCTGCCTCCTTTGTTTCCCCTGCCCATCCCTTCTCATTTAGTTTTCTTTAGAAAGGTAACTTTTTTGTACTGGTCCTGGGACTTGAACTCAATGCCTGGAAGCTGTCTCAGAGCTTTATTTGTTCAAGGCTAGTGTTTTGCCACTTGATCCACAGCTCCATTTCTGGCTTTTTCAGGTGTCTATTTGGAGCTAAGAGTCTCATAGACTTTCCTGTCTGGGCAGCTTTCAAACTGCAAGCTTCAGTTATCAGCCTTGTGAGTAGCTAGGATGGCAGGAATGAAACTCCAACACCTAGCTAGAGAAATAAACTTTAACCTCCAAAAAATATGTAATGTTCACTCACTTCCCTGATTCCATAACCAGAATTGTCTTGTTTGTTCTTTTGAGGTAAGATTTCCTTTACGTAGTCTGATTCTCCTGCCTCAGCCTTCTTTTGCAAAACTATTATCAAGTAATTGTACAAAGCAAATGCCATTTTAAAAAAGCAGTTTAGGGCTGGGAATGTGGCTTAGTGGTAGAGTGCTTGCCTAGCATGCATAAAGTCTTGCATCCACTTCTTCAGTACCATAGCAACTGAAAAAGCCAGAAGTGGAACTGTGGCTCAAGGGGTAGAGTGCCTTGAGCTTTGACTAAAAGAAGCTCAGGGACAGTGCCCAGGTCCTAAGTTCAAGCTCCACGACTGGCAAAAAAGCAGTTTATGAATCTAATACATCTGAATCAGTGTCACATTCTTCAACAATCTCACCTCCCACCCACCGCTCTTGGATCTACCCCTTCCCTTACTTTTCTGAGTTTTATTGTATATACAATTAATTCTTTTTT